GAGTGCACAGACTAAAATATTATCTACTACTTAATAGAAGCAGCAGGAGCACACAAAAGTTATGTAATTTGTGTTTTTGCGGCCATTGTTTGAAAGGTAAATTCAGTGGTCTACGTACTATTATAACTGTTCATCATTCAATTCATTTTAAGGAAATGCCTGCCACCTCTAATCTGCAGCTGATTTTGCATTGAAGCATCTTTTAACTACAACGCTTAAAGCATGCTTAAATGGGTAATTAAATACTAGAGAGTACCCATTAAGAGATATTAGCATTTACACTAGATTGAGTTTTTTTTAAATATTATTATTGATATGCAAACATAACATTAGCTTTTATTGTTTGCTTATTCTTAATATGTTGTTTTTACTTTTAAATGAAAGAACAGAACACTTTACATTAAAACTAAAGAATGGGAGAATGTTTTCTGTACATCTAAACACAATTGTTTTTACGACTTATATACAAACCATTAAGCAGAGGAAATGGGGGACAGTGACACTGGCACTATATTAAAGTGTCACTTTAGGAACCATAACAATCATGCATGAGTGGAAAGAATATAGTACACAGAACATCTTACTCCTTATCTTCTTGCTGAGAGTGGTTTATCATTGCAGCAGTTTGCAAACATGTATGGCCAACTATAAGTCTTCCATATGGATCAGCGATGTTGTTGGAGTTACACTGCTCACTACTTAGACAGATATCTCTCTTGTCCCCTCTCTATTCTATGTCTTCTGTATACACAAAACTGGTAAATAAGCTGAAAAGTGCCCATGGTAGATGGATAGAATCAATGGCAGCAATGCTATAGATGCTGTCTGCTTATTAAGCAGGTCCACTTATCCATTTTGATGAGTGGAACTGCAGTGCGGACTGAACTACCCATGTAATCTTTTGCTGGACGTGCTACATGGAACATTGGAAAACTCATACTAGAGTGATTTTCACTTGGGGATTGATGTCCCTGACTTCTATAGTTATTGCTTTGTGGAAGTCAAAGACAAAAGCTGACGTTTTATTAAGGTGGGTGTATGTTTACCCTGGCTTATATAAGACCCTACAAAGCTGCGGCAGCAAGCTGTAAATCATGACTCTAATAACATTTTAAAAACCTTCACATTATTAGAAAATTCTATACTGAAGCATTGCGTGCAATACCAATGCAGTAGAAACAAAATATTACGTCTGGTTGTATCTATGCCTTTTTTTTTATTTTTAAACAAGCAATATTTATTCAATGAACCACTCTAGGCAGCTTGTAACAACCCATATGTTTATATCGATAATGCCTGACAAAAAGTGCAACCAATTCAAAATGACAACAAAACATTGTTCATATTGAGCACTTGACCAGATAAGAGACCAGGACAAATAACTACCAATCACAAGTCCGTATTCTGTTCTACAGGTTTATTTTTTTTAATTATTGTACAGCGTGCAAGATAATTACCAAAACTGGATGATTATTGAAAAAAAAACACTGTCTGACCTAACAAATCTAAATTTTTTGCAAGATTCAAATGGGATACATCTGGGATACATTCATTCAAGGGATGAATCTGTAGGTCAATCATGCTTTAACTGAATAATAAAGGTTGCTAGTTGAAGTGTAAGGATCTGCAGCATACCTATGCAATACACCCATAAAATAAATTGATTGCCATAAATCCTGCTACCTACTTAAGTATTTTTGCTAACCACGTACGTCCCTTCATGGCATAGTTAATTGATTTTCAAAAAGGCACCCACAGGAAAATAATATATCATAGCGCATGGACAATAGATATGGACATATATATATATATATATATATATATTTATATATATATATATATATATAAAGAGTATCCCAGACACAGATGTGTGCGCTAGCTGGCACTAGATCCATGAGTCTAATTAAGAGTTAAGTCATATATACCTTATAATTTTCTTTACACAATTCCCAACCATTGCTGATATTGTAACATAGCAAGCATATTTAGTAGAGCTCTCTGAATACCTTAGTGTCATACGGTTATCATAGCACATTCCCCAAGCCCAAGAACCGTTGTTCTCTTAAATTGATTAAGCAATTAACTTTAGGTAATGTAGCTTGCAATATTTTAATTTCAATCTAAATAAAGCGTATCCTCTTCTCTGCCTGTTCCAGCTTGACGTTGAAAAGATGAAATATGTACACATATAGTGGTTTTCCCTTCCTTGAAAGGGGTCAGTAGTTTCCTAATGGATGCAGTCAATAGTAATTTCTCTTAGCAAGCTCAACAAAATTAGCATCCAACGGGAGTCTGTATCTCACTAGGCCTTTATACAATTACATGGTTCGGCTGGTGGAGATGTTCATAAAAGATAATATGCTCTATTTGTTATTCAAAACATCTGTAATGTGAAGGTTCTGTATTGCTTAGAAATGTACCTAATTGGTGCAGAAAAGATGCTGCTATTTTTTATTCTTGAGTTGTGGGAATGATATCTTTACAATCAAAACCTAATTAAATTAATTTATTGCTGAGAATAAATCAAGCAAAAATTTTTTTTTACATTGTTAAATAATTGTTAAAGAGACACTCTGATCACTATAACAACATCTTCTAAATTAAGTTGTTATGGTGCCAGAAGGCCCCGGATAAACTCTTACCTTAAGGGCTTGAGTCATTTTTGAATGGTTTAACCCCAAAAGTTGCTTCCAGCATCAATCTCCAGGTCCCCCAAGTGGCATCTTGATTCTAAATCTGAGTTACATGAAGCATGTAGTGCCACCAGGCAAGGGCACCTCTGATTGGCTAGAGCGGTCTAAGCCAATCAGCACCTCTCCATTGATAAAAAAGGTATGGAAAAATGTTTTTTTTATATTTTTAAATCACTATAGAGACAATAAATTATTGAACAAAATTAAATGATACAAAAAAGGCAGACTAACTCCTCTCTAACCTTGAGAAGGTTGCACCAACCAAGAAGCTAACATTCAGGTTTATGGGTTCTGATCTGATATGAGATTGTAAACACCTGTATTGTGTGGGTTTATGGAAGAAATTGTTTATCTTTCACCTGCAATTCAACTTGTCTCATAGTAACATAGCTCAGAAAATTAATAACATGACTGCTATCATTTTATACAGAGCCTGGCTTACAGATTTGTGAACTAGATGCTTATTGCAGCAATTGCATGGATTGCAAGGGAGCAGAGAGAGATCATTCCTACATGTGCATGCTTATCGTGTGCACATAGGTTGGACAAAATTGGCACAGCAAAGGTGGAAGGAAAAATCCCACCTTCACTACATAAGACCTACTTTGCCGCAGTTATGAATCACTATTATCAGGGCGAGTGGGTTCTCCCTACACCATACCACTGCAATTATACTAAGTTTTTATGATGCCTGAACTATCATATATTAAAGTTACTTTAGCATCAAATTTATACTTTGTTATGATTAAATATAAGTTTTTTTTTCTATTTTTTCTTAAATATTTTTAATAAGAATTGTATGCACTGCTAGGTTGTATCATTGTTAAAGTTCTGCTATTCTGTGACAGTTAAAAATGGAAAGAATCAATTATCCACAAACATGCCAGCTAACTGGAGTAGAAATCAAGCCCCCTGCTATTCGCAACCATCGGAAAGTAATCCTAGACATAGCTGTATTGATTAGAGCCCGGCAGTTAAAAAATATGTACTTAATACTGCCATCAACGTGAGGAATTGTTAAAATTGAAATTTTAGACGGAAACATAACTGCGTGTATTTTTTTTATATATATTTTTTTAATATTATGATATGCTTATATAAGATGCTCTAAAACAACCGGATATTTTGTTTATGTACAGTATATTTTGTCAGATAAAGGAGTAAATAAAAAGGGAGCTAAATTAATATGGCTAAAAATATAGTCAAACGTTCACAGCAGAGGATAGATACAATTACATATCAATAATGTGTCTCTTGCATGATGTATCAAACATTCGGATACATTTTAATCACACAAAGAAACCAATTTTTTTTTTAAAGTGTAACACAGTTAAAAAAAGTTTAAAATGTAAAAGTGTGCTTAATAGAAACCAAGCACAAAGCTCACAATTTGGTCCCTTCTGGCCCCTCTGGCAATGAGTATGTACCACAGAATAACAATATATCTAAAATATAAAAGCGCTAAGCATATAACTCTGTATACACAGATGAGGTGGCAGAAAAA